ACCTGCAAAATTCATAGCCGCTCTCGATGTTTCTCTCTCTCTCTCTCAAGATCCTTCTCCTTTTATGCATAATGTAAATATTTTTCATATTTATATTCATTAGCTCCTCCCGTGTGTATATATATCTGCAAAATTGATGGTGGATAAAACTCTATACATCATCTTTTCCGGGTTTGTGAACGTAACCTTTCCAGCTATAACTTTCGGATTTTGCATCTTCATCATCTTCGTCATCTCCACCGGTTCCGGTTAATTGGAGGGGACCTTGGGGTGAGCCAGATTGGGAACTACTAGCCTTTGAAGAGTCTACGTATTGATCTTGGGACATCCACAACGCCCCCAAACCAACAGATTGCTTTTCCGAGCCAGCTGCTGCGGCACCTGGAACTCTTCTTGTGTGAAGTCGGTATTTCTGCATTGACAAGAAAAAATTGCTCAAATTTCAGCATCAACATTCAGTGTCAAAAGTAATAAAAGTCCTTGACCTGCCATTTTATTCTTTCAATGGATGGAACGTTTCTTGAGGGGTTTCCTCAAGAAGCCAAGGCCTTCTCCTAATGTAAATTTGAAAATATTCTACACAATCAAACAGAAGCAAAGACGGGAAATTCAAAACTTACCTGCAAATGACTCTTCACTTCGTCATTCGTCAAGCCATCAACCTGCATAAGTTCCCTAATTTGCTTTGGTGTGGCCACTGCAATATCATAAAATCTCAAGTAAGACACTGCTATGGTGGGGGAAAATAGAGTGTAGTAATCCACCAGAACAATTTATGCAGTATGCAGAGAAACAATCAATTCATCTTTCGGGATACCAAATCCATGAATATCAGTTACGCAACAGATATTTGGTCTCTCAACAGATTCATGCTAATATCCTTCCTTGCACATGATCACATACATTGATTAATAGCACATAAACATTTCTGGCAAAAGACTCTAAAGTTCAACCTATCAAAAAGTAGCCATAGAAGGAAATGACAATCTTTTGCACATTCGAAGCTCAAACATTCAACAATCCACAGTTCCAATGTGAAATCTAATGAATCCCATCGAATCCACGGAAACTAAACAAATATGCAAATAAAATGAAATTGGGAACTAACTCCAAATTAAGTACTTAGAATCCAAACTCACACAATAGCAAAAGTAAGGCACACATCTTAATGTACATTAGCATCAGATTCCATATCTAACTGTTGAAGAAAACAAAAGTTTCAATATCTAACCTTGTGAACCTCCAAGTTGCTGCAAGGCATTGACAAATCTGCGATGCAACTCCGGCGACCAGCACCTTCTCTGCTTCCGGCTAGTTGGCTGCTGCGGCGGAGTACGCATATTGGATTGAGTATTGGCAGTAGAGAAGGAGACTGACCTGCCACAAGTGGATCTTGAACCACTGGAAGTCGATTCCTCCTTCGGATTCTTAATCCCCGGAGTGAGCAGAGACAGCCCATGAACTGGCAATTCCTCTTTCTCTTCCAGCCTCAACGGCGTCACAGAAAAAGCAGGGTACCCCTTAAATGGCATAAATGCTCTTCCTCCAGTCCTATTTCTACATGTCTGGAAAGGATCCTCATTTGCTACCCCATTTTCTGCTTCATTTCTCTGCCATAATTTATCAGATTATCTCAGTTAGAAGATAAATTTCAATGATTTTATGCAGTTTTGTTCTCAAATTTTTCGATGTTTCATTCGTTTACCTTAGAATCAATTTCGGAAACTCGCTTTCTATCATATGGGGAATCACCAGAAGGATGTTGGTGAAAATTATCAGTGTTCCAAAGCTGAACAGAGCTCATCCAATTCTTCTTATCCCTAGAGTCCTTTTCCTTCTTATTGTTATTGCCACTTCCTCCCTTGTTTTTATCACAATCTTTCTTCATTGGTATGAATTCTTCCAGCACTGGTTGAATTTTGGCGCCGCACATTGCATTGCATCTTCCTTCAGAGCTCGAATCGCTGAAAACAATATGAACAAAAACAAACCCAGAAAAAACAAAAGTTAGGAAACAAAAACCCATCAACCAATATCTTCAAAACTAAAAACCCATCATCCAAAACCAACCGAAACCAAAACCCCATTTCTGAAATCGAATTAAATAAAATAATTTCTGGATACCCATTAATCGAAATCATCAGAAATCCAAAACCCATATCCCGAAATATTTTAAAAAGCTGTGAAAAGCCAGGAAAATATGTACTTGAAATCAAAGCTTGAATTTTTTTTTTTCAGGGGAAACAAAAACGAACCATCATTCAATAGGAACATGCAGAGAGGAAGCTCGCGCTTGAAGGCATCGATCTTCCTCATCTCGTCCTCCAATCTCTTAACAAAATCGTCAAGCTTGGACAGCTTTTCGGACACATTTCCGATCATTGAAACCTCCTTGAGGAAATCACTGATCGTTTTGGGCACAAAAGTGGGTTTAAAATCCAAGCTCAGTTCTGGAGGAACCGAACCCATTTCAATATTTGGAGATTTAGATCCTTTCTTTTTGCAGATAATTGGTTTCTGTCGTAATCTCTCTATCTTTTGTGTGGATTAACCAGAGAGGTGAAAACAAGGAATCGGAAATAGTGAGGATCTATATATATAGGAGATGAAGTTAATATATATACGCTATATATATATATATATATATATATATAATAAGATAGTGATTGACGAGAAAAATGAAAAATGAAAAACGGAAAATTTGAAGGTGCGAGGAAGAAGAAGAGAAGATTCTATTGAGGGAGAGAAAGCATCGGCCAGGATTGAGGGGTTTTAAAAAGTCTCTCTCGTGGCGTCGCATATTTTATCTACCGTTCCGTGGCTCCTGAGTGAACTCGGGCATCTTACTTTCCTTTTTAGTGAGTTCACTCGGTCATTGAAAACCTATAAATTATTTTTTTAAATGGTTAGATGGTGGATTGTGGTAGATGCATAATAATGTGTTGTTTTAATTTTAAACTAAATGCAATACTGCCAATACACATTACACATACTATGTGTATGACTTAAATTTTATAATTTAAAAAAAAATTTGAACAAACGAGGTTGAGGAGTGGGCTAAGCCTCACAATGGGTTAACAATAATGTAATTTAAATTTGTCTTTGACAATAATTGAAACCTTTCACCCTACAAGCAAAAAGAAATATCATTAAATTGTAGTGCTAAGTGGCTATAAATAATTAAATTTAATTATGTCAAATCAGGTAAAAAAATTATTGGATTGGGGAAGTTCGAAAAACTGGAAAAAAAAAATAGAAGTGGGTGCAAATGAGAGAGAGCTAAAAAGAGGGAGTGAGTTTAGAGTATTGATAGGATGACATGTCTACGAGGTTAGGAAAAAAGCAAAAACTTGTTTGTGCCAAATTAATTTAATGCTCACTTTTTTGTCTTTTTTTTTTTTTTAATATTTTCTTTCAGTTATATATAAAAGAGTGTGATAGTAATTTTATTGGTTTTTTTATCGACAAACAAGGTTCTAGTAACTTGCAGATTAAGGAATTGTCTTTACTTTAAAATGATCAAATTGTAAATGAGTATTGGATGTTGGATTTTTTTCTGATTGTTTCATTAAATTGCAAATGGTGTGCTTTTCCAGGTGTGGATTAGTGTTTACAAGATTAAAATGCACAATTGTACATTTAACTCATTCATGTAAACTTTTTTGTGGTTTTTTAAATGGAAATGGAACTGTTATTTGCAGTTCTAAATAATCATTATGCATTACTTCATTTTTTTATCACTTTCACTAAGGAAGAGTGAATATGACTTTTTTTTAGTGCATACAACAACTCATTTATCTTCATTTCATTTTTCTTTATATAATTAGACAAAACCCAAAAAGATGAAATAGTATACTAGAGATGTCACATTTTTTTCCCCAATTTCTATATCACATGATATCGGCTAATGACTTTATCTCAGTAGATGTTGGAGGTGTTTTATTCCTAAGCAATCAAGAGATTCCCAGTGTGACAGCCCGTTCCGGAATTTTCAAACCGTTGGGGTGAAATGACGATTTTGCTCCTAGTGTGATTTTTCGTTGTGTGGTTGTTTTTGGATTGTTGTTGGTAGGTTGTGGACCACACACACACTCTCCCATATTTCCCTCACCCTTTCCCTGCCCTGCACCCTGTCCCGAGCTCTCTCTCTCTCTCCCATTTCCTATCCCATTTGTACGGACATACCCCAAAACCCTCTAAATCTTCACAAATTGAGGAAACAAAGTACCTATTCATGCTCGTGAGGTCCGTAGAAGTTCAACCATACCTATTTCAGGTAAGGATACCTTTGTTTTCACGTCGAACTCGGAATACCCCGATTTTGTCACTGTTCATGCACACGTAAATTCTTATGTTTTTGGGAATTTCAAGCTTGTAGGAAGCTTGGTGAGGTCCTTAGGAGGCTCGGGGTGGTTCGTTTGAAGGTTTTGGACATCGGGATCATGAGATTCAAGGTTGGCCGGAGTTGGTGGTGTTTTCCCGGCGAGATTCCGTGTGTTTTAGCACTTGAAAGTGGTATGGAATTGGTCCTCTCATTGTAAGCTTCATTTTGGTACCAATTTTGTGAAATTTGGTTGAAAAACGAAGAAGTTATAAGGTTTTGAAAATTTCCCGATTTTCCGACACCGACGACGGCGCCGGAGCCTCGACGGAAAAGACGACGGAATATTCCGTCAGTTTGGACGAAATATTCCTAACGGCATTAACGGAATATTCCTGACGACGTTAACTGACGCCGTTAGTGTGCCAGGCACGTGCCTGCACATGGCCGGCACGTGTGGCCGTGCCTTGGCCGGCGGGTGGGGGCGCGTGCAACGGTGGAAAATTTTTCTAAAAATATGGGGATGTTCCTGAGGTTGAGTAGATCACGTTGGTGTATTCATACACCCCATTTGAGTATTGTATGAGAAGTTATTTCATAAGGTTGGTTATGTGCTTTAAAATTTACGTTTTTATAGTTGTTTCGCATATAGGTGAGACCTATCCCGAGGACGAGCGCGGTCACTCGAGGCAAGGGGGTTACGACCCTTCTACATACCAGTGAGTGGGCTTTTGGTTTTCCGTATATACCTATATACTTATGTTTTTCCTAGAAATTGATTTGAAACATTATACATTTATTTGCCATGCTTATTGTTTGCCATTTATTTACGCATTATTAGTCGCATATGTTTATATATGTTTGGTGCTGCGGACGCACATGTAAGTGCCAGGTGAGTTATGATTTATGTTTACGTTCAGTAGTGATTTGAGATGCATAGAGAGCTCATAACCTGCACCCTCGGTGTTAGTGCTCTCGCCCAGAGTTGGGCACAGTCCTTCACGTGATGTTCACCTCCCGCACCACACGCTCATCTTGGATCCAATTTAGGTGCACAGTCCTGTTGTACAGACCACTTTAGGTGGTTTCGACTCGTAGGTGACCCGCGATTATTCGCTCAGCCTTCACGTGATCATAGCACTTGAGCGTACTTATATTACACCCAGTCCTGTAGTACAGACCACTCTAGGTGGTTCCGACTCGTGTGCAGGTATAGTTAGTGAGATGGAGACTTGAGCTCTAGATTCAGCCGTACAGGTCACGGTAGGTGGCTTCGGCTGACAGATTGCATGGTATTATTTGGCTTTAGCTGAGTACTTGCATTTTATATCGAGGCATTTGGCATGGCATGTTTCCGAGCATGATTTATATATATGTATATATTCTATTTTTTCTGTGAAGTATACAGGTTTTACGGCGAGGGGTTAGAATCTTGTTTATGAAATGGTTTTTGAAAAGCTTTGTTTTTGCCCACTCGCACTTTTGTTTTGCGCCCCTCCAGGTTCTAGTTGGCTAGCACATTTGGTGGCTTCCTTGAGGATTTCCCCGGCATATCTGACAGATTATTACCAGTGTAGGACCACCTTCGGGTGTGTTTTTGTAGTGTCTTTTCATTCCGGACTGCATTAGGTCTTCGTGCTCTAAACTTTGGTTTCACACTTACGCTTGCACTTGTATGCTCGCACGTTGTGTAAAGCTGTTGGTTTTTAATTATTCGTGCTATGTTTATTATTATTTTATTAGCTTCCGCACTATGCACATGGTTACGTCACTTCCACGTGACGGCCAGCATGCCCTAATCTCAATCGGGGTGTGTCACCCAGCATTCTTAAAGTCATTTTTCTTGTGCAATGTCGTAGGTTCAAATCTCACAGAGCATTATTCTATTCTTGTTAGGTCTAATTACAATGAAATAACTTCACTAACTTGAACAACAACCTGAATTTTTCCTCCTAAAGGGCATGTCAGACCCATAATATCCAATTGAAGGAAAGTGATTTCACACACTTGTTTGCACATTTTTTGCACACCGCCTCTTAACCATGACCAATGATTCACCTTTGATTTGTTCAATTTAATTTCTTAGAGAGTGTAACTGGTGAAAAATAGTGTGCAAAAAGTGAAAAGGATAATGCTAGGAAGATCAAATTTACAAACCAAATGATATGGCTGTTGATGATTGAATTATTACTTAAGCATTGATTAGCGTGCTTATTTTTTTATTGGTGACATGTCATTTTATTTGCAAAATTAATTTAAAATTTTGGTCTACCTAACATTACCTTTGATACGATATCATGATCGGAGTGTTTTTATTATCTAATTAAGAACTTAAAAGTGAAAAACCTATTACAAAAATGATATGCTACAACAAGGTAATTGTTGTTCATTTTGGTCACATCCCCATGCTACTTGAGTTGGCCATAGTTGACATGTGAGCGGTGACCCCCTAATAACACAAAACGTTACTATAAAGATATACTTATGTCATACAAAATGCTTTTTTTAAAATGGTCAATCTTTTTTACCTAAAAGTTTCTTTTCAAAAGTAATATTATAGATGTGCACCATGACCATAATTAAAGAAATGGATTTTATTATCTTTTATAATTTTAATATTGTTGTTAGATTTGAACATGGATCTTAAGTTCATAACCCCTCCTTCTAATCTCTACCATGTAGTGTTTTTTAAATAAAATAAAAATAAAAAATAAATAAATAAACGAGAGAAAGAGGATTGGGGACAGGAGGGCCACCAAAGTGGAATTTTCATGTTACAACCAATCTATGTTTATTGTTTTGACCAAAAAAAAAAAAAATCGATGTTTATTGAGATTTCTATGGATGTACAAATATTTTATGACTTACAGTCCTTCACTGTTATTTGTTTGATAATATTTTTCGACTACTTTTTGTCGTTCTGCACACTTATGTTCTTACATTTTATTTTATTTTCTCGATCTAAAAGTTACAAATAAATAAGAATCTGCATAGAAAGGAAAAAAAAATATGTGTAGTTTTCTTTTTGTTTTTTTTATTCATGTGTTTATTTAAAGGAATTGTTATTAGCATTCTGAAAATCTTATTCTACACTCCAAACTTTCTATATTTGAAAGAAAAATACATTTGTGAACAGTATAGAATAAAAATTTTAAAATATCAATAACATTTCTCTTATTTAATGGCTAAAAGTTTCAGAAATAAAACATTAGTACAAAGTAATAGAATTATAGTTATTTCCTTACCGTTGGCGGAGCTTTCTATGTTCTTGGTAGTGCTAGCTCTTTTCCCACTAAAGGCTTTTGGCTTGGTGGATCACCAAATTTGTTGTTTCTCTGTTTTTTTTTTTTTTCGGGATTCGAAGTTGTTGAAAGGTCCTCAAAGTCACTGGCTATTTGGCGTGTTCAAGTAGGATTAATCCCTACGTATTGGAACTAGGAAAACGTTTCTTACCGACACTTTTTTTTTTTTTTTTTTAAATAACATTTGGAATACTAAATTTTTAAACTTAAACACGTTAATTAATACTTAATTAATAATTTAATCATAAAAAACCACATCATTTGGTATACACAGTTCGGTTTAAAATTTTGATCTCTCTAATATTATTTTATTTTACAAACAATAGAAATGCTAATGAGACTATCTCAAAGTAGGACTCTTTATGGACTCATCATGGTCAATTCATAATTTAACGTTAATTCTCGTGCCAACATTATAAAACATTGTACCAAAAACACAAGATGACAAAAAGTCTATGGAGAGTCACACTTTTGAAAGAGTTTCTTTAGCATTTCTCTAAAAACAATAGTGGTAATCTAATACATATATCGAGCATAAAATTCAGAAGAAAACTTTAACCACTACGACAATTTAGCAACACCTTGATATATCTTATTATCATTCTTTTGTAAATGACTTGTAGTTCGGTTGTAACGAGTATTCAGCCTTGCAACTGAAGTTGTAACCTCAATTTTCTCCACGCTCAATATTACTTGTATCAAAAGAAATAGTCATTTAGACTTTCAACATGCAACACTAATTCCTTTTCCAAAAAAAAAATGCAAGACTACTTGAACTCATGCATAGCTTATAACTCTAGCGATTAAAAATTTACCATAAACTCATCAGCATAGTTAAGGTTTCTCATTTGATCTAGTATTACTTAGAGCATATATAATGAGAGACACAAATTGCATCCAAAAATAATTCGTGTTGGCCGGAAAGTTTTTGAGATGTAAGACTCATCTTGAACATAAAATGTAAATTAACTTTCTTTTTATATCTTTAGGAGGTGAGCTGGCCATTTAAAGAGAATGAAATCCCAAATTTGTATTTTCTTCATTGGGTCATAACTGATATTTATATCTCTTGAAAATGTAAAATAAAATGCAAATGTAGCTTTTACATCTTAAATAGCGTTGGAGATTATCTTATTTTCAACTTTATTATAAAAGACGTCATGATTCCAAATTTCATGGACCACCAAAAATTAAAATATATCCAAATGATTGTGATTTGCATAAATTGATTAACCACACTTTTTAAAAATTAAACAAAAGAATAGAGAGCAATTATTATTGATTCTTGACTATACAACATGTGATTGGGTGATGTTTATGGACCCATCAATTTCATGAAAGATGGCTAAAAACTTAGAGATAAGGAATCTTGGGAAAATCGATGGGGCCAATTTGGATATTGGCAGAGATTTTGAGTTGGAACAAAATATATATGTTGGGAGAGAGAAAGAGCAAGAGAGAGGAAGATGCCCTTTTCAAGCACACAAGGACAGACTTTTACAGCCATGACTCTATGAGATTCTCATTTTCTCTTATATACATAGTCCACAGAATACAAGAATCTATCTCTATCCTCTACAATTTTTTTTTTCACAGCCATGGCTCCATGAGATTCTCATTTTCTCTTATATATAGTCTCAATAATCTATCTCTATTCTCTAATTTATTTATTTATTGTTAACAAACAATAATATTTACACTAAGAAAAGAAGGATGCGTTTATCCTTACAATGGATTAGTAATAACGTAGTTCAAATTCACTTTAGTAAAAATTGAACCTAAAACTTCTTACTTACAAATGAAGATAAATATCATTAAACAATAATACTAAGTAACAAAAACCGCATAGCATTTTAAGACTTTTCATTCTATCGGATCTCTTTTAACGAGCTTTAATCTTCTACAAATCAATTAAACTCCATAAAAATTCATGGATTTATAAATCCATTAAAGTCTTTCAAATTCTGAATTGAATACACTTCCTTTGATAGAATTCCTTTCTTGTTTTTCTTTTTACCTAAAACAACATTTCTTACCATTTAGTACTACGGTTTAACAATATTATTCTTTACTTATAAATGAAAGGTGTTAGATTTGATTCTTACCAAATGCGAATTTGAGCCACATTATTGTTAACCCATTGTGAGGCTAAGTCCACCCTCCTTCCCCTTAGTATAGATAAAATCGTATGTTAATAAATAAATAAATAAATAAAACCTTGCTTTTTGTTTAATTTGAATTTTCATATTAAATGGTGAATTGCGTTGATGGAAACGGTATTTATGCTTTGGATTGTTTTCTTGAATAACTATGTATGTTTTGTTCTACAATTTATTTATGGTTATTAACTATGTATGTTTTTATTTAGAGAATAGAGTAGGTGATGATCTATCTACCTATATTTTATATAAAATCCTTATGATTAAAATGCTTAATATTTTTAATCTCTACCCACAATTTCATTTTGTTAATTAAATTTGTCAACAAAGACATTCAGCAGTGCATGCCTCTTTCTAGAATCACAACACACAACAGAAACCCTTTCGAACAAAGTGGTGGGTTGTTCTATTGGTTAGAGTCTTTCTCTTCAACCGACCGTGTCTCGTGTTCTCTCTCATCCTCCTAGTAGTGTAGATATCAACTAGGAATGTGTGAATATCAACTAGGAAAATATTCTATGTGGTAGATAGGTACCAAACAGTTGGGTGGTAGAGATGATACCATTTCTTGGATTCCAGAAAGTACTAAAGTTTCTTAATATTCAATGAAAATTGAGATGCTTTGCTTTGGCACTCAAAACACAAGTTGGTTGCCTTTCATGCGATGCGGTCAAGCCAAGCCACCTCTCTCTCTCTCTCTCTCTCTCTCTCTCTCTCTCTCTCTCTCTCTCTACACACACATTATTGTAAAGTCTGTATAGAGTAAATTACATGCCTTCCCTTTTGATATATTATTTTTCTTGAGTTGATCAAAACATCTGGCTTCAATTCCATGCCATCATTTGCTTTCATTAGAAGCAGGGATTGGGAGAATCTTATTCCCCTTTGACTCATCATCATCAACATTATTAAACTTAAGCACACAAAAGAGGAAAGACAACACAATCAAGAAAATATTTTTATGCATCACCCTTAAGCGATGGTAAGTATCACTACCATGTTGATTGTTGTTAAATAAGTATAAATTAAAAAAAAATGAAGAACAGATAAATTCAATCACACTTATTTAACGACAACAACTAATAGAGTGGTGATGCTCAAGAGCAATAATCCACCCAACATGAAAACTATTTTTTTACACACCTGCTGGATAATAGAGATTATTCTTGATAAGCTGCCATATATGCATCTGCTAGATTCCAGGAAAAATTGTAATGAAATTGATGGATGTACATTGTACACATGTGCAATCCAATCAAAGGGTTATTGGCAA